CACCTCACCATTGGAATCCAGGGACTGGCCATGCAATGGCTTGCTTCCTTTCTCCAAGGTCAGGGACAAAGGGTGGCACTGGGGGAACAACTGTCCCAGAGACACCCACTGGACTGTGGAGTGCCTCAAGGGGCAGTGTTATCTCCGATGCTCTTTAATATCTATATGCGCCCCCTTGCCCAGATTGCCCAGAGGCATGGGCTGAGATGTCACCAGTATGTGATTGACACCTAGCTCTATCTGTTGTTGGGCGATCAGTCCAAACTGGAAGACCTAGATCAGGCATTACAAGCCATGGCTGGTTGGCTCAGACTGAGCCAGCTGAAATTGAATCCGACAACGACAGAGGACCTGTGCCTGAGCTGGGGCAGCCCAGGGGTAGAGATCCCACTTCCGACCTTTGATGGGGTTCCTTTGGTGCCAGCGCCAGAGGTAAGGAGTCTGGGAGTGCTCCTGGATGCCTCCTTAACAATGGAGGCCCGGGTAGCAGCCACTGCCAAGTCGGCCTTTTATCATCTATGGTTGATCAGGCAATTGGCTCCCTTCCTTGAATGCAATGACTTGGCAACAGTGATCCATGCAATGGTCACCTTGAGGTTGGGCTACTGTAATGCTCTCTACATGGGGCTGCCCTTGTCCCAAATCCAGAGGCTGCAGCTGGTGCAAAATGCCACGGCCAGGCTGTTGATGAAACTCCTAAAGGCACTGGACTGGCTGCCAACAGCATACTGAATTCATTTCTAGGTGCTGATCTTGACCTTTAAAGCCCTTTATGGTCAGAGGCCTACATACCTGAAGGACCACCTTTCCCCATATGTTCCCCAGAGAGCACTGCTCTGGGGCCCAGAACCAGCTGGTCCTCCAGAGTTATAAGGAGGCCAGGTTGGTGACAACCAGGGCCAGGGCTTTCTTGGTGGCGGCTCCGCTCTGGTGGAACAAGGTCCCAGTAGAGATCAGGGCCCTGCAGAACCTTTTACAGTTCCGCAGGGCCTGTAAAATGGAGCTCTTCCACCAGGCCTTTGAAGCTGTCACCACCGCTAAATATTACTAACAGTTAACAGCAGCAAGATAGAGAGCCCTGTGTCCCTGGAAGTTTTAACAATGGCCTGTGTTAATCGCCTGAATGACATCTGAAGAAGATCTAAAAGCTGATCATTTGAAGAGAGAACTGAGTACGGCAGCCATTGTGGAAGTAATGACAATCAGGAATAATAATACTAGCACTCATTATGTCACCAATTGGTTGTTGTACTGTTTTAAGTGTTTTAATTGTTTTTACTGTAATTTATGTGCTGTTTTATGTAAGCCACCCTGAGCCTGCCTCAGCTGGGAGGGCGGGGTAGAAATCTAATAAATAAATAAATGAAAGTTGGGAATTCAGAGAATGTGCTATACTTATAGTTACAATGGTATATTGATGTAATGATATCCTAGTGCTGATTTACAAAACAACAACGACCCCACCTTGCAAAAGCCCTAGTGGCCCAAGAAAGAGGGTCGGCTGCTGCTTGAGGGACTGGGGCAAGGGAACTGCAGGAAAACCTCATTTGCAGCCACAAGAGCAATGAGAAAGCCACAAAATTCTGTCCCCCTTGCACTGCATATCTGCCTTTTAGTTGTCATATAGATAAAAGAGATATTAAGGGATTTTTTTTTTTTACTCAGAAGCAGAACAATTCTGTCTTATTTTCTTGTTTGTGGCTGTAGTTCTATATTTTTTTTTAAAAAAAAATGCACATCTCATTTCTTCATGCAATGTGCTTGCACTTATCCTATATCTCTAGTTTAATAAGTTTACTTATGATATTGTTATATTATTTTGAGTATTCCTTTCCCTGACTATATACTCTTTCCTTTCTTTTTTCTTTATGCCTCCCCTCCCCAACCATTTTAACGGCATTTTGTTTGGATGCTGAGCACTATCCGGTTGATGCTGTAGTGAAAAGTCTGGGAAGCACTGCTCCTAAAAGACACTGTTTGGATTTTGTACAAAATTCCTCCGTGTATATATTGCCATCCTTGCTGACTTTATCAGCACAGAGAAGATCAGCACAATTGTCCTTGGCCTGCAGATTCAAATATGCAGAATCAATTAGCCTGAACCCAGACAAAACCTCTGTGCAGATGTGTGGTTATTGTTCATGCAATACATGAAGTGGACACAGGTTCAGAGCATGGCAAATGCTTTTCATGTATGAGATCACAGAATAAATTGTTCTCCTAGCATCTCCACTTTAAAGGGTCTCAGATGGTAACACCAAGAAAGGCTTTTGCCCAGGACTGGGGCCACTCAAAGTTGATAATATTGGGCCAGATATACCTATCTAGTATATTTTTATCCCACCTTTCCTTCAAGGAGCTCAGGGCAGTATACATGTTTATATATTTATTAAAATATTTGTAACCTACCTTTTTTCTTGGCTCAAGTCATCTGACAGGTAAACATTAACACACTACTGATTAAAGCCAAACAAAATAAAACTCCTAAATAGCTCCCTCTCTGCCACTAAAAGATGCCTACTGTTCGTGCCCCATCAAAAACCTTGGCAAACAAACAAGTCTTGCAGCACCTCTGGAAGAACAAGGAGAGCTCCCATTCCACAGAGTAGGAACCAACAACGGAAACAGCCCTGGCTTTGGTTGATGCCAGGTGGGTCACCCTGCGTTGAGGAACAGCCAGAATGTGGCAGCCTGAAGACAGAAGGAGCTGCTGCACAAGGACATTTGGGGAGGAGATTGTTCTTCAGATATGGGGGCACCAGGCTGTGAAAAGTTTTAAAAATCAGATACAACTGGAGGCTTGGATAACAAAATATCCAACCCGAACACCAGTGCTCCAGACAATCTCATTACCATCATATAAATATTTAAAAGTTCAAAGGCCGCTGATCAATCTAAAAGTATCAACAGGGATGGCTATCCTGTCTATCTTTAAATGAAACTCATCAACTAGTTTGACTTGGTTCCAAACCCAAGCTTGAAACCAGACTGAAATGGGTCAAATGTCTTCCACACAGGGGTGGGCTTGTGTAGCTGCTGCAGCAACTGCTGAGGCAATACAGCTTCCATATGGTAGGTTTTCTCTGCCTTTCCCCTGCCCCAGTTCCCACAGTGGCCATTCCCCCATTACTATTGGGGGGATTTGTTCTTTTTTAAAAACCCAGCAATTTCCATACCATTACAGTGTCATAACATTATATAACAATCTGTCTATTAATATAATAACTGTGTATCATCCAAGTGTAACTGGTTCATGGCAACCTCAAGGCCATGAGATTTTCAAAGCAAGAGATGAACCGAGGTGGTTTGCCTTTTGCTGCATAGCAATCCCTGTCTTCCTTGGTGGTCTCCCATCCAAGTACTGACTGTGGCTGATCCTGCTTATATTTCAAGCCCTGAAGATTGAGCTAGTAAAAAATATTGGTTCTCTACATTCCCAGCTTTCTTTAAAAATAAAAATAAAAAAATCTCGGTCCTCTTTCATTGCAGAGATGTAAAAGGGAAAGCATATCTTTGCAACAAAAGGGACTACAGCTGGGGTCACCAGTGTGGTGGCCATGAGCACCATGGTACTTGCCAACACCTTTTCTCACACCCATCAAATGTTTTTTAGAAAGTGCGCAAGGCTAGGTGGGGCTTTTGCCCAATATGACTTCTGATTGGCCACTGGAGATTTGATTGTCTGTGCAGATTTTTTTTAAAGGTTGATTTGGCAGAAGCTGCCATCACAGCACAAGGATCTTCACTATGTAACTCAAGGTCAGCAGTGGCAGCCATTTTGTGGCTAGCTCCACCGTTTGTGGCAGCCATTTTGTTGGCTGTGCCCACCAAGCTGTGTCAGAATTCCAAAGGTGCTCAAAAAGGCTGGGGATCCCTGGATTAGAGACTTTTAAAAAAAGAAATGAAAGCTTGAAATTCAGAGAAATTGAGAGACAAATCATTATAACACTATAGCAATATGACAGTCACTGATTCAAAAATAAAACAAAAAAAAAGACAAGCAATGGCCATGGTGGGGGACTTGGGCAAGAAAAATGGTGCTGATGTGGATAGGACCAGGACTGTAATGTCCACATGGGCACTATCCTGGCTTTTCTGTAATCTTTCTGAAAACATAACCGCAAATCAAGTTTTGGAAATATGGGGAAAACCTGGCAGATGCATGGAAATATCAAGATGCTTACAGGGAAGCAGGAGAAAAAACAGCTTTCCAGCAGCATCCAAGCCAGAACAAATAACCAATGTGCAAGTCACCATAGCTATCTCATCCTCATTTTATCCTCACAACAACCTCATCAGTTAGGTTAGGCTGTTTGTCTCAAGGGCACCCAGTGAGCTTCATGGCATTAGTGGATGTCCCAGGTCCTAACCCAACATTCCGCTACACCACACTACTCTGGCTAGATATTGATGAGTTCTCATTCTAAAGCAGCACTTTATGTCCTCCTCTTCATGTGGTGGTGGAGGTGGAAGGTACCTTCAAGTCACAGCTGACATGGCAACCCCATAGCGTTTTCAAGGCAAGAGATGTTCAGAGGTGGCTCTCCATTGCCTGTCTTGGGGTCAGGACCCTTTGAGGTCTCCCATCCAGATGCTAGCCAGGGCTGACCCTGCTTAGCTTCCGAGATCGGATGAGATTGGGCTGGCCTGGGCTATCTAGGTCAGGGTCCTCTTATCGCAGCCTACAAAAGTTTGTCCTAAGTTCAACTTGGTATACAGAACTCAGTACCGGACCTGAGGGAGCCTGGAAGAAATCACTGGCTTCCCATCAGTAGGGAGACTTCTTGTGATGGGGCATGATCTAAAGGTTGCACAGAACGAGGAAAGCGCCTTTGCAAGGAAGGACACGGGGATTCTTCTGAGCGATGCACACTCCGGGCTGAGAGCTCCCGCGTGGTTATTGACTCCACGGACTGCTTTGGATGCCCCACCGTAGCTCGTCTGGCGCGCATAGCTACGCTGTACTCCTATTCCTCCCTCTCCCGGGGATCGCTGCTTACCTGCCTTCAAGTAGCTCTCTCCACTCTATCGCTAGACTGTCCAGTCGTAATGTTGTCGATCCACTTCAGGCGTCGTTCAGTTGCCATGGTCAACAGCCACTCAGGATTGGCAGTTTCAAAGGCCAATGAGTATTCTTTACGTTTAACCCGCCCCTTATGAAGGAAAGAGCCATTGGACGCTTCCAGGCAAAGTATAACAACTTACGGTAGGAATATCAGGAGGACTTCAGTTCCCAGCATGCACTGATAGAGGTGCATTTTGGGGATTGTTGGCTTCTTTTTGGAGTCTTTGTGTTTCGAGCATGTTAAAAGCAACAAGTTAGCTCCATATGCAGCCCCCCCCCCCACAACATAGTCTTCCTTAAGCTACTGCACTTATTGTCTTTATATTTTCTTCCAATTTATTTTTAAAGTCATTGTTCCTATGGCTGAATTAAGGAGAAAACAGTATGTTAAAATCGCCTATGCTTTTTATATAGCTGCTTCAAAGCAAAATCTTTTCTACTTTCCCATCTGTGACTGATTTGCAGCATTTCTCTGAAGACCATGTAATAACTTTAATAACTTAATTAAACTTTAGGTTTATTTGTATACCTTCGTTCAGATACAATCAAAGGGAGCTATTCAGAGTCTTCCTTCTCCCGCCTCTCCCATTACAAGAGATTGCTCTTAATTGCAAGTTTGTGACTGAAAAGGAAATTTCATTAAAGTCTTAAAACAAAACCACTCTGTATACTTTCTTGCATCTTGGGAACATTGAAAACACAAACTGATGTAATTTTGCTACATATAATTTTCCAGGGCCTTTTTTTTTTTTTTTAAAGAGGTGCCAGAACTCTCAAGAGGGAAATGAAGTTTTCAATCTGTATACTGAAAACTCATGAACTTTTAAACATTTTTAAAAGAATTTTATCAAAGAGGCCCTGTAATGTTCTCACAAAAGCCGTATAATGCCATATTCTCTTGAAAAGTTTCCAGAAAGGATTACATCAGACAGGTGGTACAAAGTGTAACAGATCAAGCCAAAGGCAGCCTACCAATATGTGCAAGTGAATGAGCTGCCGATGGTATGGCAAATGTTACTGGATCCTTTGATGGTGTCACTTGCTGGGATATCAGAATAGGGTTGGCAGGCACTGAGGTTTGTTGTAGGCAGGGGGTAGTCTACCTAAAGAACACCACATGATTCACTGTTTGCAGCCAGCATCAGTCCACTAGACAGGGACAAACACCTGCAATATTTACACCAAGCATTTCTAAAACTATGGTGTCCTCAGGAAGAAGTGAAGAGAGAACTGACAAGGCTGGTACCCAACTGGTACCCAAGTCACAGGGGGTTGGCCTACTCCATCTTGAGAAATTATTGGAGATTTTTTTGGGGGGGGGAGCTCAAAAGGGGCCTGATGCCATACAGTTTGTTCTCTAAATCTGCCATTTTCTCCAGTGTAACAGATCTCTGTAGCCTGAAAATCAGCTGTAAATCCAGAACAACTCCAGGCCCTACCTAGAGGCTGACAACCCAAGGTTCACCTTCAGCACGAAGGTTTAAAAGGGGGGAGACTACGGCAAGAAGCTGCCAAATTGGAATTGATATGCCTATTTGATACTATTGAAGCAAAGAGGGACTTGGGATAGCTAGCACGTTAGAAAAAGTAATTGCAATTGATTTAGAGATGAATTCTTGATATCAAATTTATTGATATCTGCATGTATCAGAAGCCTGTTAGAAACTATCAGATATTCTTACCACCTCAGATTATAAAAATATAAATAGTCAAATTGCTTTTTGGGGGAGTAAATTAACAGATTATAAATAATATATATCAAACAATTGTCCATACACGGATAACTTTGTCAAATGATGGACATAATGTTTTGGAACAATAAGTATAGGACTGGGATCAGAGTATGCATTTTTAAAGCTGTTACATAGTTACCTGGTACAGACCCTGTACAGAAACATTTTTCTTTCTTTTCTGCTTTTCGTTACATATCGTGCACTGTATACATCTTTTCCTTTTTTAGTTAATAAAACGTTTTAAAACATTCAGAACTAACTGTTCCTCCTTATAAGTTTTTGTACACTATTCAAATTCATCTACATTGAGTTCATCAGTTGCTGGGAGTGGTCCGCACTCACCCTTTTGACAAAATCTGTGCTCTGCAATGCAAGGTAACACACCTGGGGTACTGGGCTTTCTCTCTTTGTAACAGCCCCTCACCCCACCCCGTGCTGCTATCTGTCTCCACCAATGGAATGTAAACATTTCATGCATCCAGACTCTGGTGTATGCCATAACAAATCTGCTAGTCAAGATACTACAAGACTTATATTGGCTGCAGCAGACTAACATGGCTACCCTACTAGAGTTCACCGTGCATGTTGACATATGTAAATCTCTTGTTTTGCATGGGTACCTTCTGGCACTGCAAAAATAGTGGGACTGTTGAGCACCTGATGGGTAAAAATAAATCCTTTGCTGGCTGCACTCAGCTTCATGGGTCACTGTTGTGCAAGTCAGGTGTATCTGCCAGTTCTCTCATCATCATCACACTCAAGTGACTGTCATAAAGGCCACAAAAAGGGCCCACCCACTAAAATATCAGTGTTTCCATATACTACAGAGACTCTTCAGGTATTCAATTTACAACAACAACCCCCACCACCACCTAAAATATTGAGAATGCTTATTACCCTCTCAGCATTCTGAGGGTAATGAAAGGAGTGTTTGTCCTTTCTTTTAATGTATAAAGTAAGATTTTGTTGAGAACCACTGAGAAAGAGTTTATTTAGTTATTTGATTTATACCCCACCCTCCCTGCCAAGGCAGGCTCAAAATAAGAAAATAAGAAGTTAAATAAGAAAACAAAAGGAGCAGGGTGGGGCAATGGCATGCTAAGGCTCCACAGAGTTTATAAAATCCTGGAGGTGGAGATTTTCATTGGGATGAAATTTCCCAATCATTTACCTCTCTCCCTTCACAGTACACAAACACCCCCCCCCCCCAATTTACTATATTTTATAATGAGATGTGTGGGTATCAGAAAAGTAGCAAAATCAAGCCACACATAGAGATGGTATGGGCTTACATACTTAGGGGACTCTCGGGTATATAGGAAAATAAGTCTTTGTACAAACTGCAACAACCAAAAGGCCCAATGAGGACTGAGCATGCTCCAAGAGGTATGAAACCCCGAGGGCAGTTGACAGGCATAATGGGAAGAAAGGGAAGGCAAAGGAGAAAAGTTGCCTGTTCAGGTATCTTAAGAGTTTATAGTTTTCTGGAATGCAACATTTAGGTGAAGGAGGAGGCATTGATTTTGGTCCCCTCAGTTCCTTGCAGGTTTCAGTTGTTAGACATTTAAAAACACCTAGCCGATGCCAATGCCGATGTATCCAATAGAATGGCTTTATTTGCCTTGGCTGCAAGGAAAATACGGGCCAACGCTGCTTCTAGCCAATACTGATTTTAGTGGGTATGTTGTGAATTAATTAACTGTTCATAACCTCGATTTTATGGATTTATAATGTTGGACTGTATCTTATTTTATACAATTTTAAAGTTTTAGTGTGTTCTTCTTTGTCTGTGGTTTGTAATGGCCCATGGCTAAATACAATAAAATCTTCTTCTTCTTCTTCTCAGTTGTTAGACATTTAAAAACACCCCATTTCCAGACTCTTCCATTATTCAGGGTTTCTTGAGCTTGGCCTGCATCAAGCTTTCTATTTAACCTGGAAGCATTGTAACCGTTTCGACACTCCTTTAAATTAATTAGGCAGTGAGGTTTCATCTTATATTTTATCAGTCTGTCTGTCTGTCTGATTCTTGTCCATCCTCCAAGAAGCTTAGGACCGTACTCATGTTTCTCACGTCCTCCATTTTATCCTCGAAGCTGGTAGGTTGAGAGAGAAAGACTGGCCCAAGGTCAGCAAGTGATTTTCACGGGGGG